CCATATTTCCTCCTTTTGATTGTGTTTCTTTGTGGCTGAACATTCATGTTTCTTCAAAGAACCATAAGCAATTCATTTTCAACAAAATCACAGTGATGCTATTACTTTTGTGAAGATTTATTAATACTGACTACTAAATAAAAATGTCACAGACACACTAAATATCATGCCTAAAAAGCATAAAGAAACGCTACATTGCTTTGAGGACAAATAGGAAATATAATTTGCATTCTGAGAAAAAAATGAATAACAGGAAATGGACAAAAATGGATTAGTAGCAAAGTTGATAATGGTCCTCATTATATCTGGGTAAGAAGTTGAAACTGAAACAAATTTGGGTCATCTGGTGTACAACTGAAGTGAATCCTTGGCAAGACCATCAAGAGGCTGGCTACTGTTGAATTCCCCTCCTGGGGTGTCTAATACCCCTAAAACTCTCTTTTGGATCCAAGATCTAAAAGTATCAGACAACAGCCAACAATCCTTTTATTAAGTGTCCCATTCATTAAACCTTTTGTGCCTTTTAAGGTGATGAGCCTCAAATCTTTGGCTGTGCCTCCCTTAGGAATACACATATTTTCATCTATTTCTAATAAACAAGAAAAAAATAATAAATGCCTTAGCAGGAACAACTCAATATCTACCATATCCATTATACAGCAATTGTAGCAACTGTACAACAAATCCAAATGATGATCACATATGAAATCTAATGATAATGCCATAAATATGATAATTCATATAAGTTTCACACATTGAAAACAATAATATGAACCTTGTGTCCCTCCTTAGATCTCAGGAATTATGGTGCTTTTCATGTGAAATAATGTAGCAAGAACACAGGCAAGACTCAAGCATTGTGTTGCAGGCAGACATCCTGGCAGAATTATGGTTTAACACTGTTAATTCTGGCAGTGTGCTAATATTAGTTTATGAACAGCACCTTCTACTACCTCAGCAATTATAAGTACTCATTATCATTTATGAAACTGTATATGATTCAACTTCAAAGGACAAGATGAGTTTTTTAACCAACCCGTAGAACATTGAAGTGCCCCTAGAGTCTGCAGGGCAGAGTTGAGCTTGAGGAACTTGGATTCATTGACTATGAGCTGAAGAGAAAGAGGCTTTCCCTATTTGGAGGGCTTATCTTCATCTTTGTTCTCTTGGGTAATAATGGCTATAAAACTGAAACACCCATGCTACTTAAGATGAAAGGAGCAGGGAGAAGAATAGAAGGAATAAACGTCTATTTTGCCTGAGGAAGCAATGGAGACCTGTCACCCCCTTCAACATGTACTTTATAACCAGCAACTGGGAAACCAGTGTGAAGAATTGAGTATATCACGGTGTAGTCATTGTTTCAATCCAGACAGTAGAATCAAGTAAGTCAGTCCCAAAAGACAAAGTATCACATGCTTCGTATCAGATGTGAAATCGGTGATGGGACATGAGTATACAAGTGGACTTATTAGGATGGAGAACGGAAAAGGAGAGGGAGGCACATGAAAAATAGGGACAAGTAATATTTATCCTGTGCATGTGTGGAAATATAATGAATCCTCTGACATTGTACAATTAAGAATAGTTGCAAGAGGGCTGGTGAGGTGAGAATATATGAGAGCCAATTTGATGGAGTACACAACTTGCCCTCTTGAGTTTAAATTTGTATCTTAGCTTCCAGCTGTCCCAGGTGTAGACCCAATGTGCAGAGAAGTCTTGGATAGGGCTCACAATGTTGAATTGCTCTTGGTTATTTAAACTCTGTGTTCTCAGAGGGCAGCCTTCCTTACAAAGTTCCTTGAATCAACAACATCAGATTAGCAAGCCACGTTTCCTGTTTATTGTTCTACATTTGCTCCCCAGTGAAGTGATTCACTCTGTCACATCACGGCCTGTGACATCTACATGTCCAAACATGCCAGCTGTCTGTACAAAAGGAAATGTGTTCTAATGTGAAATTGCTACATTTCCATCCTGTTAACAATCTCTATTACATTATTCAAGTGCTACCAAGTCAATTACAAGTGTCTTTGGCCATATGTGAGGCCTACAGTTAGCAAAAGTGTTTAACATATTTCAGCTGAGTTGAAGTAGGCCATAATGTAACATTATAGTTTGGAATATTAGCTTAGGAAGAGGAATTCATATCTTATTATCTCCAGTCAATGACTATTGGTCTAGAATGAATCTTCAATGGAATGACTCACCCTGCAGATTGAGACTTTATTTCCAGAGAAGACACAGACAAATGTCATCTTGGCTTTTAGTTAATTTTCCCCTCTTCCTCTTATTTTTCATTGAGGATGACGGCCCTGAAGGAGACAGGGGACGGGGAGACATATATGCTTTGTGTAGTGGTGGTTTCAGATAGCTTTGGTGCTCTGCTAAAAAAAATTCTTGTCTCGTTGACCCTTGGATCCTCATGGTGTTTGATCATAGACACACACTGACAGGGCCAACCTCACAGGCCTACACAGACCATGAAGAAAACGAGAGGTTGACTGCTTGCTAAAGCACTTTCCTCATTGATGAAATTGGCAGTGACCTTAATCAGTGACTCTCTCTGCTTTTTAGTGCTAACAGAAATAACCATTTTTTTCTACTCTATTTTCATCATAGACCTTTTCCCTCTGATCTTCAGATATAAGGTATGGCCCAAGGTCTGTAGTACTTCAGAAATCAAGTCAGAACGCCTCTTTCAATTCTACACTTCTTCTCCTGATGCACCCCAAATGTGTATGAAAGCATACTGATTTGAAAAAAAATATAGAAACAATTATAAGAACATTTGAAATGGACAACCTATGGCCATAATCCATACAGTTATGAGTCTTTATGAAACTGCATAGGATACAAATTTTCCCAAGAAGCTTCTTTAAATCTCTTCTATATATCTTCAAGAAAAATCAAATTGCTAAGAGCTAAAAATTCCTTTTTCAAGATAAGAGGTAATAGCAAGTGATGATTTTAAGTCACCTGATACTCAGAAACCATAATCTCAATAGCATGGCTAAAGTCGAGAGCACCCATAATTAGGTACTGGCCACACATTAATATGCAATGCCTATCTTTTGTAATTTTCTTACTTTTCGTTTTCTGGAAACCAGGCAGTATCCACCTTATGTGGTAGCAGAGGTTAAATAAGTTAAAGCCTCTGAATCTTCTAGAAGAGTGCTTCATGCTTCCCTGTGAGCATTGTGCTTATCATCCCTGTGGACTCTCAAATATACAGACTCAGGGTTTGTTCTGACTGCATGTTTACCCTCTTCCTCAGAGTCATCCTGATTCTCCTGGTTGCACAGGCCACCCAGTGCATACGTGACTCCTAAAATTCTGATGTGGAATGAGCTCTGAGATTCATGACACAGAGTTTAGAACTCAGCACACAGACAGTTACAAGGTGGTCCGTCTTTTTTTTATTAGACAAGACAGCTCAAAGTGACACATTTCACCATGAAGAGCCCTGGCATTTTATGTCCACAGAACTCTCAGTGGCTTAAAGAGGAAAACTTCTGAATCATCTGCATAGACCTCTAGTGTGCTGAATTTAATCACCTGCAGAAATTTGTAGTACATTAAATTATCTGCAGAAACAGAAGCCTAGTGTGCTAAGTGTAGTCACTGTGAGGTCCTTCTGATGTGCTAAGTGTTCTAGCACACTGAGAACTATCAAAAGAACCATTCATAGGAATAAGTACCCACCATGGTATAGTATATCTCCATCTAGGGTAACTTTAGAACTCTTGACATCTATTCAGCACAGGAAAATACAGATCTGGGCATATTTTTGTTACTAAAATTTCCATACAAAAACTGAATATCACGCAAACTCCATGGCTCATAGCTTCTGTAATTACCTTGGCTCTAGCCAAGTCAAGAAAAAAAAAGAAAAAGAAAAAGAAAAACAGAAAAACAATCACTTTCCACAGTGGACCCTGCTTGAATTTGAATTTCACAGCCTTCCAGTCTCTGGACACATGTTTCATTCTGAAACACAGCATGGTTTTCCTGATGTCGAACTCTTCTGAAGATCACTACCTCTCCCTGGTTACTTCCTCCCCCTGCCCATAAGTGAGTCTGCCCCTGTTCCTCCTCTTCACATGCTCCTGTCTGTCATCTGCCCTGATTTCTTCAGATGCCATTGTCTGAGTAGTCCCTTCCTTGGAACTCACAATTCTCTCTCTCTCTCTCTCTCTCTCTCTCTCTCTCTCTCTCTCTCTCTCTCTCTCTCTCTCTCTCTCTCTCTCTTTCTCTCTATTTCTCCCTCCCTTTTTCTCTCTCCCCAACTGGATCAAACCAAACCCATTTCTCTACTATACTCCTCAGAGACCACTACCCCTTGTCATTATAATCTGTCTGCAATAATAGTAAAATAAAACATTCAGTGCCTTGTATGGAGTTTCTTCTGGGTTCCAATACCTATATAAAAACAAAACAAACAAAAAACATTCATTCTATCAATCTGAACTGAATCAAGCCCCCACCTTATGTCCATATGTTCCATGTACCTTAACTGCTATTCCTACCCACTCCTTCCTATTGCAGCTGACATCTTACCTATCCCAGAACACCATCCAGGCCCCCTGTTGTTCTTAAGTAGCCTCTTGAGCCTTCTAACCTCATAGCCTCTATCCACCTTTATTAATGCTGCCATCTGAGGACGAGCTTTGCTTTGCATTGCTACAGCTCTGTCCCACTTACAGAGAAACTGCCTGGAAAAACTGGCATTACAAATGTGTATGTGAAAAAGACAGCATCAGGACAGACCAGTCACTCCACAGTTTTTATATATTCTTGGTTCTAGCCTAGTCAAGAAATAAGAGGGTTCTGTTTTTTTGTTTTGTTTTGTTTTGTGTTGTTTTTTGCATGAGTATTTGGGTGAATGACTTATTTTCATGCTTATATAGATTAATATACCAAAGTAAAGACTAGACATTTAAACAAATGCTTTATGGCCTGGTATATATCTATATATCTTGTTTGTTTTCCTCCTTCAGGCTTGAACCACACTGATATCTTTGGTTTGGTGACTCAAGCAATCTGCCACCCAACTGAGGAACAATATACCTTTGGGTAAGTACCATAAACATTTCAAAATCATACCATAACCACAAAGCTTATGTTTTCTTACCTTATTATAATTTAAGCCTTTTCTCTCTCTTATACACACACACACACACACACACACACACATACACACACACACACACACACAAACACACAAATAAATGAAGCTTTAAATAAAAACAGACAATAGATTTAGTAGAGAAAATTTTTAAGAAAAATTATGGGGTTTTTAGACACTAGCATAAAATCTTACAGTTTTGTACAATGCTGTGGAAACTCCCTATCTTTCCTGAAGGAATTTATACATAGGATAAAATGTTCTGAAATACAGCATGTACTCTACAAAATGTGCACATTTCTGCACAGTCCCATAGAACTTTACACAGTGAACATGTGTGTACCAACAATTAGGCTCAGTTAAAGGCCATTACCTTCTCCCACATCCCAGTAGGGCCCCACCCCTGGCTCTCTTGCTTCCCATCTAGCCACCTCCTCTCAGTCTCTTTAGGAGTCACCACGACCCAGATTTCTAACACTGAAAATTGGTTCAGCATTCTTAGAGTGACTGTCTTTTTAAATGACTCAGAATTAAAAACAAAATGAGAAAATATGAGCAGGAGAGCCATGTGACTTCCTCATCTGTGTAACAGCTGTTTACCTGATGATTGGACAGCTAATTTGGCTGGTATTGCTGTTATCCTGAACCCCAGCAAACATCACCTATTCAATTGAGGGTCACTGATGACTCAGCACTATATTTAGGTTCCTTCTCCCTCCCTTTAATATTTGCTTCAATAAATTATAGCCTGCCCAAGATCAGGAAGAGTGTTCTCCACAGCCAACATTTACAACAAATGTCTTTCATGATTAGAACAAAGGATTCTTTTCAAATTGACTGAAGAAATTGGCAAATAACATGGACCACTCCAAGGAACCAAGAAAATAGATAAAAATACTCTTAGATCAACCAAAGACTTAATCACACATTTGTTGAAAACTCCATTCTACTAGCATATTAAATGAGAAATAAGATCACAGGTTTTATTCCCATAAAGATAATTGTCTCCCTAGCCATTTACTATAGAGGGACTACTACCTACCTCCTCATTCTTTACTAATTTTTTACCTCTTCCTAAGCAGTAGCAGTTACATTCTGACACCTCTGTGTCTCGTTGATTCAAGTAATATCATGCTGTCTGTGTAATGGAGAGAAAGATAATATTTCTCCTTACTAAAAATTCTAAAAATAAATTGCTAAATTTATGGCATCCTTAAATGTTACTGATACTTCTTCCTACACTATTAATTTTATGTTAATACATTTCTTAAAATAAGGTCACATATATATCTCATATCTTTACATTTAGTGTCATTACTTATGTGCAGAATTTGGTACAATCTTGTACATTGCATGGTAAGAAATCTGCTCCATGGAGGAACTGCTTGACCTAGACCCTAAATTTTAGACTATGCATCAATTTAAAAAGATCTGAAATCCTGCCTTATCTGTCACCTAAGTATGTTCTTAAATGTGTACTAAATCTGTCTTTAGTTACAGGAATTATGCATGTAAGAAAAATACTTAAGAGTTAATAATTCCTAATCAAGTTTTATATAAACCTAATGTGTTTCTATGCATCTTAAAGATTTATATGTCATAAAATAGTGAATGAGTTGAAAAATAAGAATTGATACTAAATGACAACTTGATAGTATTCCAACTTTTTTAAAAGTTATGTTTACAAAAATATATAGTTGAACTCTATTCCATTCTGTTATCAATATGTGTAACTGTGGAAAAACAAGGAGTCCTTTCTGTAATAAAGACACCACGGTCAGACCCACTCACCCAGCTGCAATAGGCCACACTGTCTCATTTCTATGGTGGGATTCATTTGCCCTGTCCTTGAACTGCAGCTCCATGCAATGACACAATGTCTGTGTTATTTACTTGGAAATTCATCATTTGCTCTGATGCTTCTTAGTTTCATCTGTGCTGTTGAGTATAGCAGTAGATATGTGTTTATTGATTTGCTGTTTGGTAGCATTGCATTTAGCAAATGTGCCACACTTAATTATCATTTTGCATGACATAGGGTTTGTTTCCAAGTTTTAGATATTATTAATAGTGCTGCTATAAGCATTTTTAAGAAGTCCTTTTGTGATGGTGTGTGTGTGTTTGTGTATGTGTATTCATTTCTGTTCAGATAATTTCTGGGTCAAACAATGACTGTGTTTAATTCTATAACCCATTAAGCAGTTCTTGAAACATTTCACTGCTTTCCTACCCCAAATTTCTCCAAGCAAAAATATGATCAGGACTATCACAATATGCCAGTTCCTGGTACCAACTTGTTGTGTTAGTTAGGGTTTCTTTTGCTGTGAAGAGACACCACTAATAAATCAAGTCTCATAAAAGAAGCATTTAATTGTGGATGGCTTAAAGTTTCAGAAATTTAGTTAATTATCATCATGGTGGAACATGTTGGCATGTAGACATGGTGCTGGAAAAGGATCCAGAGTGTCTGCATATTGACCTGAAGACAACAAAATGAACTGTGTTCATTACTGGACATAGCTTGAGCATAAGGGACCTCAGAGCCCACCCTCATTGTGACACACTTTCTCCAATAAGGCCACACCTAGTCCAACAAAGCTACCCCTCTTAATAATGCCTCCCTTTATGAGGGCCATTTCCTTCAAACAACCCCAGATTCTTGTTTTCTTTTTCACTTTTGACTAAGTATGCTTTATTAGCTATTATTTTATACGTCTAAAGTTTTGCTTATTGAAGATGCTTAAACTTCAAAGCCCATGTGTTTTTGATGGTTTCCTATGTATTTATTTGTCTGATGTTTGGTCTTCTTCTTTTTCCTCTTCCTCTTCCTCTTCTTCTTCTCTTCTCTTTTCCTTCTTTTTCTTCTTCTTTTTGAGGCTTGGTCTTATTATGCAGTCTAGACTGTATGAAATTGTGATTCTCCTGCCCCAGCTTCCTGAGTGCTGGGATTGCAGGCATATGCCACCATACCCAACTTCATTTTCTTTTGTCTTTTGTTTTTTATTTTTCTTATTTTACATATTGATCCCAGTTCCCACTCCTTCCCTCTCTCCCACCCTCCCATGCCCCCCCCGACCACCCTCCCACTGCACATGTAGGGTGATGCCTTCCAAGAGAAGTCATTCTAAATATGTCAAGTCATTTGGAGTAGGGACTAGGCCTTCTCTCCTGTCTCTAGGTTAAGGGAATATTTGTCTGATATTTGGTCGTCTTCTTCTTCTTCTTCTTCTTCTTCTTCTTCTTCTTCTTCTTCTTCTTCTTCCTCTTCCTCTTCCTCTTTCTCTTCCTCTTCCTCTTCTCTTCTCTTTTCCTTCTTTTTCTCCCAAAGTCCTTTTGTGCAACAGGGATACATCCTGGTTCCACTGTCAGAGGTCCCTTAGTCTGCCCAGGCCTTCTAGCTGAGACCCATGTTCAAGAGGTCTGAGTCAGTCCAATGTTGGATTCCAAGCTCTCAGTCTGGGGGACCAATTAGCTCCTCCTTGTTCAGGTCAGCTGTCTCTGTGGGTTTCTATAGCCTGGTCTTGTCCACCCTCACAGCATCTGGATTCCAGTTCGGCTTAGTGTTTAGCTGTGGGGGTCTGCTTCTGTTTCCATCAGCTACTAGACGAGAGCTCTAACAACCACAGATTCTTATATCCTCTCTGGAAAGCATCTGCCAAAACCATAGATGTGTGATTACCTTTAATTAATTGCATGTGTGGTGTGAGGAAGATCTTAATACACATCTTATGCAGTTTTTCTAGTGCAATTTGTTGATAAATTACTCCCTTCCAAATCTGATTCCTGCTTGAAAGTCAGCAGATCATCTATGCATCCTTCTGAACTGTGTATTGTATTTCATTGAGTCATCCCATCGAGTCAATTAACCCCACTGCCTGGAGTACCATGTGCCTATAACTGTGATTAAACAGATCATCTACAGTCTTCTTTCTTACGATTTCCTTAGCTGTTTTAAGTAAGAACTCTACAAAGAAGAAAAATAGCCATAGTAACCATGTTTAGTCTTCCAACCCATGAACCTGTGGCAATATCCTCTCATTTAATCAGTCTCATACTTTATACTTTTCCATGGGCACTTTCATTCATCTTTCAAGTTTATTCTTAAAAGTTTCATCCTTGTATTATAAATCAAAGGGAGTTTTATTTCTTCTCTTTGTCTGCTGACAGTATACAGATGCATAATTGATTTATAAAATATTGACCTGTGTGCTACAAACATTCAAATCTCCTTATTATTTCCAGTGGTGCTTTGTATTGTTTTTCCTTTGCATTCTTTTGTATTTTAAATAAACTTTATTATAAAAATTTACAAATATATAAAAGTATCACACACCAAAATTGACAAGGGTATAAATCTATACAAATTAATGAACACAATTGGCATTTCTGTACTATGCAATTAGTCATTTTAATATAATAAATTTTCTTCGTCATTTATAAACTTTATGCCTCTTTTATGTCTTTCTCTTTTTGTGCAATCTTAGACTATTTGAACAATGTTGAATAGGAGTACTGAGAACAGACATATATATTTGTCTTGTTCCTGATCTTTGAAGGAAAATGTTCAATGTTTCATCATTATAACATTGATTTTAGATTTTGTGTGAAGGCCTTCTCAAACAAAACAAAATGTACTTGTATCCTGGATTTTTAAATCATTGTATACAATATACAAATATTGAATTTCATCACAAGTTTTTTTTCTTCCTGCATACACTAAAATGATCAAAAGGTGTTTCTTCCTTTTCTGATAACCTGATAAACAAAATAAATATTTTCAGAACTAATGTTACCCTGCATTCCTTTTATATCCCTTTCTTAGTAATGATGTATGGCTATCCTATGTCGTCCAACGTTTGACTTTATGGTATTGTTGACTAATTTATTTACTCTTGAAATACACTTTTGGTTTTTAATAGCAGGGTGCTGACCTCATTAAATGTTTTGG